AGACAGAGATAGATAGATAGATAGATAGATAGATAGATAGATAGATAGACCCTCATTTTTAAGATTGTGGATACACTTAAATACACACAAGCATAGGGGTGCTTGGTCAATTCAGTCCTACTCATGAATTGGGCATGAATGAACAGGCTCTTTGGATACTTTCTATCTGGAAAGATGCATGGCTAATTATAGGTTGAGGTCTGAAACGTTGTGATGTCTGTCTGAACACAGAATTCACCACATGCCTCAACAAGTGCTGCGTGAGGCTGTACAAAGAACATACACATAAACACCATAATCATTACAATGTTTCAAAGTCTTTAGACTGTTAAAGCTGGCAACAGTCCAGTCAACGCTTATACACATATACAAGAGTCAACTGCTGTCCAACTCACCGAGGCAGCGCATCCGGTCTGCAGATGGCAAGTATCCAGAAGGACACACACAGGAGAAACTGCCCGCTGAATTAATGCAGCGTCCTCCATCACACACACGCTGGACGGTGGAGCATTCATCCACATCTGAGAGATTTCACACAATCAAATACAATTTACTTTTATTAGATCAAGTAGGTTTATTGCTCCAGCATGGCAGGGGAAAAGAAAATACAGTGGACAGCTGTACATGAGATGAGTGTATCTAATGAAAGGCATCAGCTAGAATGTGTATGTTCAGACAGAGCCATTTCTACAGAAGCTCAATTATAACCTAGACACAAAACACCTGTCAAATCCTGTGTTATTATCTGTAGGTCATGAACAAACAATCACAGTGAGGCTTTATAAATTCTATATTGTTGGGAATTTAAGCAGCAGTCTCTCATTTCATTATGCATGCAACCATTCTTTTCCTGGCATGGATACTGATATAGACCAAACACGCTAACAGTATGTTACTTACCCTCACACATCAGCGAACTCATGTGCTGCTGGAAACCCACGGGACACTGGCACTGATATGAGCCCACAGTGTTGATGCACTTTCCTCCTTTACACAGGTCAGGCACAACCTTACATTCATCAACATCTGGCCAAAGAGAAAACATCACACACTGAAAGCACCATCAATTCCCTTAAATCACTTTCTTTTGAAGTGTCAAAAAAGAGCCTGCAAATGGCAAGCCACATTCTAGGAGTGACTTACTGACTGAATGATCATCAAAACAACCGACCACGGTTCTTTTTAAAAGAGTTTACATTAATAATGAAAATAATGCAATAAGGCGGGTAAATCCAACATCAATAGATACTACAGTGGAAGGAGTGTAACATCTGGTACCAAAAAACACATTCAAATAATCTCACGGTGATCACAATATGAAGAATAACCGCCAAATAATCAGTGGAACAGTTACATTACACCTCTCTCAGTAACACTCAGCAGTGATGTTTCCTTCCTGCATGAATCAGTGCTTTTGAACCAACTGGAAGAGTAAATGATTCAGTAGCTATGTTTATATGCAAGCAAATAATCTGTTAGTAATTGGATTGATGGCTCAATCGAACTGAAAAGCCTTCATGTAAACACTTTAATCAATCTGATTGAGCTCAATCTGAATGAAATTTTGATCGGATTAGAAGGGGTGGTGTAGACCTTTTCTAATCCGATCGAGAGAACATGTAAACATTTGATCGGATTGAAAACCGAAACTGGAAATTACTGCGCATGTGCAATTACGTTGTTTTTGTAGAATGAAGTGTCATAAATGACTGTCATGTTATTCTAAAATTCTCCTTCCACTCATCATCTGTGAAGTGGAGCAGAACAACGTCCCATCAGTCCTCACTTCATACTCTCACCCACAGATGTCTTGTTTTGGCTATTTTACTGCTTGATTATTTAAAGGGGTCATGAATTGTGGAATCAACATTTACTTGAGCTTTTGATATATAAGAGGTCATCGTACTAAAAGAATATCCTGTAAGTTTCAAAACTGAAAACGTCCTTGTTACTGAAATAAAAGCTTGTATTGACACAAGGCCCAGTGAACGCCAGATCCTGGAATGTGTCTATGCATGACGTAATAGATAGCTTAAACACCACCTCCACTGAAGAATATCAACGCCCAATTCTGTAGCCCCGCCCACTGATTCACGCATGACAAGACCTGCGTCCCAGGTCTTGTCATGCTCATACTATCCATCCTAAATAGTATGTGAGATTAGAATTAGTGTGTCCCAAAGCATAGTTTGTTGAAAAGAGTATGCCAGAAGATGGTCTACTGCTTCAGGTAGATTTTTAAAGTGTGGATCCGTGCACACTCTGATGGCTAATATTACCCACAATCCACTGGGCTTTGACGAATGATTTAGTTCAAAACTAAAAACACAAATAAAAGACGTTAAAAAACTACAAACATGGCGGATGTGCGCGACCGATGGTTAAGTAGAGAGGTTTAGATAAAGGGGTTTGAGTTACTAATAATCAACATTTAACCTGTTAAAATTTTTTATTTAATGTTATCTGTGTTAGGATATTTCATCTGCAACAACAATGTGAACTTTTATAAACATCCATTTGGCCATTAACTTTTAAATGCATCATTATGCAGAAAATATGAGCAGAGTTCTCGGCATAAAGACCCGTGGCTGGCAGATCAAACTTTCTCTCCAATACGGTAGGAAGTTAAATGAAATGAAATGTGAAGAATGATTGACAGGCCAGTTTACAGTGACAGGATGCGTGTAATTATGTGACAGAGTGGACCGTTGAAAAAGATGCAATTGTATGACGTTATAGTTTGTCCCAAAGCATGCCTAGTCTTCTACTACACACTCAAAAGTGTGTACTTTTTCCTCACCAAAACAGTACATACATTAAGGGCGTAGTACAAGTAGACACATTGGGATGCAGCAATAGTAGGGAAATAACATAAGTGGTGCTAAACCGGATCGAGCAACCAAGCAATAAACAAGATCGCAAAATATTGTGCAGTGCCTGGTTGTGGAAGAACACAGTCGCTGCATAACCTTCCTTCGGATTCAAATATTAGGAATGCATGGTTGAACTTCCAAACTTCCAAAGCTGAAGTTCCAGCTCATGTGAGTAAAACATTGAGCATTTGTTTGCTTCATTTCGCCGCGGATTCCTTTGTAAACAAGACACAGGTCGACACTGGATTTGCAGAGAGACTGAGATTAAAAAGCAATGCTGTGCTGACAGGAATGGCGCAGCACACTTATGTGAGTAAAAAATATTTGTACTATGTCACTATTGCTTTGTTAAGAGATTGCTTGATTATGTGTACGTGTCTAACCAAAGTCACAGAAGGCTCCAAGTATGAAGGACGTAGCTTGTCAAACAGACACACAGAAAGTTAGTTTACTATGCAAAACTGTTATTCAATCATAGCAGTGGGCGTTTACTTCCAAGTCTTCAATGCAGCACGCCCATAAAAACTAGCGTTTCTCGAGCCGCCCTCAAAACCAGGGTAGAAAGTAGCCTATTACTTATTGATTTTGATATTTTTGAATATAAAAACCACTCGAATGTCATAAGTGGACCTCAGACAACTGTAGAGTCTGGACCAATCAAACACTCATTTTTCTGTAGTTATATTTAACAAATACTCTGTAACACCCCTCAGTTAACAAGCCATATGAGGTCTATGGACCCTTCCCCCGAAATGCATCTAACACCTCAGAAAGGCAGAACAGGCCTCTGGTTCCATGGCAACCAATGCTAAACCTTTCTGTGAATGAACACACATCTCCTCAGGACATTGTGTATACCATTATTGTGCTTGTATATTGTGTTTTGAATTGTATACTGTTTTGTGTGTGTGTTATGATAGATCACTAGTTAATATAGCCCCACCGATACCATGTTTGGTCTTCTTTGAATTTGTCTTCTGATGATCTAAACGAAAGTGTATATTATATGTTGGTACATAGGCAATATATTAGTGTTCTAAGAATCTTGATTCAAAATTTTGAATCATGCTCTCACACAAAGGGTCATAAAATTCCCCAGTATTTCCAACCTCCCGCTTGGAATTTCAGCCTTTCTCATTGGACAAGTCCATCCTGAGAGGTGTGAATCTTCTCAGACCTTAAAAGGCTCACGCACAGTTCCGCCCATGTTGTTGCGTTGTTGTTTTCTTCTGCTAAGTCTTCTGTTTATATACATTTCCCTTTTGAGCTAATTTGCTACATAATTGGTGGAGAATGCAGGCAATCGTTTAAACATTATTTGCAAGCGGACTCAGTATAAAACGTGTGTTTGTCTCATACATTTTTATTAACGTCTTACACATGCATACCAGCTTCTGATAAACTCAGATAAACTATAGCTTGAATGT